GGTGGTCGTGGTTTGTTACGCTGGCTAGTGGTCGTGGTTTGATACGCTGACTGGTGGTCGTGGTTTGTCACGCTGGCTAGTGGTCGTGGTTTGTTGCGCTCGCTAGTGGTCGTGGTTTGTTACGCTGGCTAATGGTCGTGGTTTGTTACGCTGGCTAGTGGTCGTGGTTTGTTACGCTGGCTAGTGGTCGTGCTTTGTTACGCTGGTTAGTGGTCGTGCTTTGTTACGCTGGCTAATGGTCGTGGTTTGTTACGCTGGCTGGTGGTCATGGTTTGTTACGCTGGCTAGTGGTCGTGCTTTGTTACGCTGGCTAGTGGTCGTGCTTTGTTACGCTGGTTAGTGGTCGTGGTTTGTTACGCGGGCTAGTGGTCGTGCTTTGTTGCGCTGGTTAGTGGCCGTAGTTTGTTACGCTGGCTAATGGTCGTGGTTTGTTACGCTGGTTAGTGCTCGTGGTTTGTTACGCTGGTTAGTGGTCGTGGTTTGTTACGCTGGTTAGTGGTCGTGGTTTGTTACGCTGGTTAGTGGTCGTGGTTTGTTACGCTGGTTAGTGGTCGTGGTTTATTACGCTGGTTAGTGGTCGTGGTTGAGCCCGGCTCCGGGGCGCGTAACCTGCTCTGTTCATTGCTGAATTGGAACGGCCTGGCACCTGGACCGGGGACGGGGCTTTCGGCAGTAACTTGGTGATGGGCCACTGAGCCGAATCCTCGGCGGAGCTGGCCGCCGGCGGGGCTCGAGCAGGCCGGCCGTTGACGCCCGGGCTGACATGGTTAGCGTTGGAGCGCTGCGGACGGTGGACATGTCTAGAGACAGGCGGCAGCCGACCATGCGACGAGCGAGCGCCGCTTTCGTCTCTGCGAGCGCGGAGGGCACTCAGGTCCGTGACTTGTGACGGCTGTGACCTGACTCGACCGATGAAGGTCACCGTCACCCGCGTTTAGAGCGCAGCGCAGCAGCCGTCGCGGGAGACGGACGCTAAGCTGCCGACACCAGTGCAGCTGCCGGACACAGGCGGAACGATGCGATATCCGGGTCCAGAGGAGGCTCGCATTCCAACCGGGACATCGCTGCTGGGGGCGGGGGGGGGGGGGGCTCATAGCCAGACAGGCTATCGGTTGAGAGGAACTCACCATCCGGACGCAATACCGCCTGAGAGAAGCCTACCATCCTGGCTAAAGCGCTGTACCGCGTCTGGGGAAGCCCATACGCGACATGACGCTGGCGGTGGCCCACGCACCGGGAGCCCCAGCCTCTGGCCGGCGATGTATCTCTCCGGACAGGAGACAGGCGGAAGAGACGGAGCCGGCCGGCCAGACGCCAGCAGACGCCCGTCGCTCCGGGTCGGCAGCGTTCGCCGGCCTGTCGTTCTCCATGCCATCTCCACATCGAGAGCTGCAGCCGGGCGGGCGAGGTGCAGACACGGCGCGTCACTCGGGCCCAGCTCAGCCGGCCGTCCCGGCTCCTCCGCAGACCCATTCATTGTTTTAAGCCGCTTTGGCGGCGGCCGGCCGGGCGTGCGGGCCGGCTTACAGCGGTGTATTGTGTACGTCACGTCAACGGACGGGGCCGCCGCCGCCGCCGCCGCCGCCGGATCCGGGTCCGGTCGCCGGCCGGGCGGCGCTGGCGGCCGGCCTTCGGCCAGAGCGGTATGTAGTGGTCTCTCCACGCCGGACGGACGGCTGAACACAACCGGCGGACGCAACGCCGGCCCCACGATCGGCGCGATCGCGTTCGGCCTGCGGCTGAGTTCGACGCTCGTGGACAGGACACTGCCGGGACCGCCGGCGGCCTGCGGCGGTGTTACAGGCCGGGGCGGACAGACGGGCAGACCGCTTACGGAGCGTGTCTGCGGTGTGCGCTTGGACGTCACGACGGAGGGGGCTGTCTGGGTCTGAGTGAGCGTGTCTCCGTCGCACACGGACTGAGCGCCGGCTGGGATCTGAGCCCGTTTTGGTCTGTGACTGTCGGGGCACGGACTGAGCGCCGGCTGGGATCTGAGCCCGTTTTGGTCTGTGACTGTCGGGGCACGGACTGAGCGCCGGCTGGGATCTGAACCCGTTTTGGTCTGTGACTGTCGGGGCACGGACTGAGCGCCGGCTGGGATCTGAACCCGTTTTGGTCTGTGACTGTCGGGGCACGGACTGAGCGCCGGCTGGGATCTGAGCCCGTTTTGGTCTGTGACTGTCGGGGCACGGACTGGGCGCCGGCTGGGATCTGAACCCGTTTTGGTCTGTGACTGTCGGGGCACGGACTGAGCGCCGGCTGGGATCTGAACCCGTTTTGGTCTGTGACTGTCGGGGCACGGACTGAGCGCCGGCTGGGATCTGAGCCCGTTTTGGTCTGTGACTGTCGGGGCACGGACTGAGCGCCGGCTGGGATCTGAACCCGTTTTGGTCTGTGACTGTCGGGGCACGGACTGAGCGCCGGCTGGGATCTGAACCCGTTTTGGTCTGTGACTGTCGGGGCACGGACTGAGCGCCGGCTGGGATCTGAGCCCGTTTTGGTCTGTGACTGTCGGGCACGGACTGGGCGCCGGCTGGGATCTGAACCCGTTTTGGTCTGTGACTGTCGGGGCACGGACTGGGCGCCGGCTGGGATCTGAACCCGTTTTGGTCTGTGACTGTCGGGGCACGGACTGAGCGCCGGCTGGGATCTGAACCCGTTTTGGTCTGTGACTGTCGGGGCACGGACCTCGGTGCGGGCGTGCATCGCCGGCGCCCGGCTGCGGTGGATGCCCGAGCCTGGTGTGGTCACGCGGCGCGCTGCCGTGGCGCCAGTCCCGATGGCTCTGCGGTCGGTGCTAAGCCGCCAGCGGCTGGGGCCGCGCACCGCAGAGCCTGCTCGCAATCCTCGCAGGGTGACGCCGAACAGCTCATCCCACTGCCAAGCCCTCCAGATGGACCCGCAGTGTTTGGCGGCGCGTGTACGATGCGATTGACAACGCTTGAAATACTGACTCATAGCGCTGTTGACGTTGGTCCGCATCCAGGAGGAAAAGCCGTTTGTAATGCCGCGTGAAATCATCACACAGGAAATTATGTCGGGCTCTGACACACCATTGGCACCGATCGCTGATCCAGAGGCATGCCAATGCTGGGCACGGACCCTCAGCAAACTACTGTATTGAGCTAATGAACCTCCAAGCATTCGAGCTCACAGATCCATGCGCCTTCTCTGTTAAGTGCGCTCACAATTTGGTAGAATCCCGATAGTTGAAACAGCGGCGGTGTCCAGTGTCGTTCGCTTTGTTCTGAGCCCGATTGGTCGGCCGGCGGCCCTTTGATCATTGCCGAGGATCTCGGTCGCTGATGGCGTGACTGAAGTGGCTATTTAGGGCTGTGCAGCGCATACCGCGGGCCGCTGAGCCGCCTCCAGCGGCCGCAGAGCTGCTGCCGGTGCTGAGCTGGGCGGCCGGCGCGGCGGCAGTGACGTGCAGTGACGCGGCCGGCGGCGCCGCTCGGCCGCCGCCCGGGCCGCCTTTTGGCAGCGCCCGCCACCGGCGTCGTCGCGTCGGCGTCGGCGGCGACGGCGGCGGCCGGCGGCGCCACGGGGTCGGGCGGTGCCGGCGGGCCGGCGCCGCGGCCAGGCCGGCCGGCGCCGGCCGCCCCGGGCGAGACGACATCGGTCGGGGAGGGGGGGGGGGGGGGGGCCTGGCGCCGCGCCGCAGCGAGCCACAAGCCATGTCCGGGTCTGGGGAGAGTTACGGGCGAAGTTCAAGGTGCTGGCGGAACAGCGGGTTTGGCACCGGCTCCCTCGCTGTGGGACGGGCCTGATTGAGGGCGCCATGACACTGGGCCGGCCAGCGATGGCTCGAGATGCCGTTTGATGGCGGCCCAGACGCCGGGGTCGGCCGGCGGGGAGGGCTGTGAGTCGGCGCCGGGCGCCGGTGACTCAGGCTTGCTCCCTGGGGTGGACGGACGACCGGAGTCGGAATGTCGCGACACCCGTCTGGGGCGGGACCGGGCCGTCGGCTGCGGCCCGGTCGGAGGCGGGACGCCAGCCGCCGCCGGCGAGTGTGACGTGGCTCCAGGATCGCCTGCGGTCGCTGCCTGCCCGCACGAGGAGCGTGCCGGCCTGGGCGCATGGCTCACTGCACGCACGCCGGGCGTCTGAAAGTACCAGTCGCCACAGCAAATCGGCGTCAATATTCTTCTCCGCCATTTGGCTGTGACCAAAACTGCTGAGGCTGACAGCACAGCTGAGGCCGTGCGTCGTCTCCGCAAACGGCCCCGACGCCCTCTGCGGCACGTTTTCAGTGCCCTGTTTCGCCAGCGCTGGTCGTGGAGCCGCGGCGGTGGCGATTTCGGCAGCGTGACGTCAGTACCGCATATCACTGTTGAGCGGGCAGAAGCAAAAGCCGGCCTGGCGGTCTGCTCATCTGCGTAGAGATATCGTGGATTAGTTAACACCATTTGCACGGATAGGCATGGATAAAGGTGGAGGCGAGCGCGGCGCAGCGCACTGTCTCGCGGTCGGCTACTTGGGAACGCGCGGCGGTAGCGCTGCGACGGAGCACTCCCGGCTGCGGCATGTCCGGTTTGGCCGTGTCTGTTTGCGCGGCGCTGATAACGTCCTCCCCCAACTCGGCTATTGACGTTGTCCAGTCGCGTGATCAGAACGTCTGCCTCGCGACCCTCTGGAAGCAGCGGGTGACGCCCGTCATTACCGGACCGCTGATTTATTGCACGGCGCTATGGACCGCGCACGTGACATTTACCAAGCGTGTTTCTGTTTACAGTGTGATCTGCTTATGTCTGTTATCTTTTAAGTGCTTCATGCTTAGACTGTGAATACCATGGATGATTCGAGTGCACTGGAACTCTTGTGCCTAGAGCGAGTAAGCACGACCCTGAGCGGAGCCAATCCTGTTATGTTTGGGGACTGAGGACGTTCGCAGGGCCACCGAGTTGGCCACGTCGCACTGCGCAAACCATGCTCTTACTCCGCCTCTGCAGCGCCTCCTGGCCTGCCCGCCTGACGGTCTGACTCCGCCTCTGTTACAGGCGCCAGCTGCCGGGCTTGGTGTCGCCTCTTCTACTTCGAGCGGCGGCGGCGGGTGGGCCAGCTGGGCGGCTGGGCGGCGCGCGGCCCCGTCCAGCACGTGTTCTACAGCCTGCCGCACGGAGACGGGCTGGCGCTGGAGGCGGTGGTCGACCAGAACCCGCGCCCGGAGCCGGACGTGCGGCAAACGCGAGCACTCATCGGCGCCGGTAGGTACTGCAGGCGGCCAGCCGACAGCGCGGCCACGCAGAGGAGGCCCTCCGGCGGGGCGGGATTGCGTCACGAGGCGATGGTCCAGAGGAGGCACCTGTCGGGGCGCGCGGCTGGTGTTCCAGGGGCGCGCGAGGGTCATACGGTCAGGTCAGAGTCTGGTGGGCGGTGGGTCACGCGGACGACACGGACTGGCCGGTGTTGACGTGAGCTTTGTTCAGGGGCGTCTGGTTGTCTTGAGGTGGGTGCGAGTGTGCTACCACGTGCCGGGTCAGGTGGAGCTGGCCGAAGCCGTTGCTGCCTCCCCTCCCCTTCCCCTTGTACCGGTCAACCTTTGAGCGCATTCTTAGCATGTTTCAGCCGCAAACAGGCGCCTCAGTTTATGTTCAGTTTATGTTCACGCCCAATTTTTGCGCGCTCGTGGCGCCGGGCCGTCCGGCCGCCGGTGTCCGCTGGGACAGGGCACGTCCGGTGTGTCCTGACGGACACGTGCCCCCAGCGCCGAGGGTCAATCACACATCACATTTGAGGGTGGCGTGCCCAACGGTGGGACATCAGCCTAGAACTGGCAATGCCGCATGGCACACTCGTGGGGTCCCGGGCTGGCTGCTCCGTAAGTGCACGACGGGTGGTAGACATTTGGTGGTTGTCTTCCAAGAGTCGTCTTTCCAGTACCAAACATACTCCATTACAGCGCACGCCTTTAAAAATTGTAACCGGAGTAAGGCGACGAAGGCGATAAGTGGAGAGTTTAGTTGTGCCAAAACTATGGGCCGTCTGTTTCACCCTGCGCTGTCAATCCCTAGAAGCCTCTCGCTACAAATGACAGTACGGTCATTGATCTCTGTCCTGTTTAATAAGCATTGGAAAAACATCGAGTGTTTGAACAATGCGCGCTCCTTTTGGTCTAAGTCTGTTGCATTCCTGAAGTTGGAAGCTGTGGACGGTGTTGGTAATGACTTTCCCCGGACAGATTCACTCCAAATACCACCGGCGAACAAAACATAGTATGCTGCTTTGTTTTGCCCGTGAATGCGAATAAAACCCGGCGTTCGAGTGTTGTTTGACGCGAAGTTAACTTAATGTTGCTGCTGTTGGCTAGGGATTTGTTTTTACGACACGATGCTCGCAACGTCTGCAGGAGGCTCACGGTCCCTTTAAACACCGCGAGTTATGCCGTCAGCCAGGCTAAGAATGCTCGTATCGTTTCTTCATCCACGTGTGTGGTACCCGCTGGCGACCAGTGCACTATATGGCTCTTGATATAGACATGCGTATGTTTTGTTGTGGTGTTTGTTAGATTGACAACGGTAGTTGATGAATTAGCTTGTATCTCTCCCTTTTGGTCAAGATGGTGTGTCGTTCACGAAAGGTGAAGCTTGAGTAGGTATTTTGAAATTTGTTTATACACATGTTTTCAAATTTTTTCAACTTTACTATAATATCAGCTGAGTCGATTTTTACCGGCTTTCATCAACAAATATACCATCGTTCAATGGATTCATGCCTGTAACGTTCCCCGATAACCGCGTGGCGCCATGTGCCGGTGTGTCTATTAGCGCCCTGCGTCCCTCCTGGGTGGCAGCAGCTGACGCCGTGTCGCTCTGCGCAGGCTTGACTCTGAGTCTCGAGCCGGGCGGCGTCTGGCTCTACAACCGGAGCCGGCGGCCGCTGTTCGTCTCGTCGCCGACGCTTGACCCGCCGCGCGGCTCGCCCGCCGAGGCCGTGCACAAACTTTTGCCCGGCTTCTCGGTGCTCGTGTTCGCCTGGGCGGGCGACGAGCGGCGGCGGCGGCCGCCGGACGCGCGTGACGGACCGCGCGACCCCCACAGCGTGACTGTCAGCTTCGCCAAGGGCTGGGGGCCCAAGTACACGCGCCGCAGCCCCACCGAGTGTCCCTGCTGGCTGGAGCTATGCTTCAGTCCGCTTGCCGACAGGGCGCGGTGACGGTACTAGTCAGCCGTTATAGGTGGCGCCATCGTCGCCTGCCGTCGCCGGAAGTGATCGCGTGCTGTTCGTTCGGCTCGCGTGTGAGCCCGCTCCTTGTAAGCTCAGTCGAGGCTGTCGTCGTCGCGGAAGGGGGCCGCCTCCGCGCGGCGGCGTCGAGGCTGGGAATGTAACCGGTGCTTCCCTGAGCGTGCCTTCCTGTGTTGGCGGCGCTGGCTCGCTGGCCACGAGTGTGCACGAGGGTCGGTCGCTCTGGCAGCTAGTCCCGGTCCGTTACTGCGACTGTGAACTGCCGACAGGCCGGGCGGGGCAAGGCGTGCGGGCCATCTGCGTGATGCAATCGGATATTGCGTATGTACAAACGATTTATATACGAGTAAATACAATTTGATACTGAGAAGCGAACAAACGTTGAACTGAACGGTCGCCGCGCGCCAAACGCGACGCATCACAGCGGTTCAGTATCGCGTACGTGTATGCATGCGAGTTTTTCTGAAGGTGCTTCGAATGGTTTTGCTGAGGGGAATGACTGAGTATGGACCCTAGTTCTCAGGCTGCCAAATTTTGTGCGGACTTCCTCAGCTCATATTAGATGCGAAGCATCTAAGCATTTTGCAACGGCTGCCACTGACGTAGGTGATTTTCACCCACTCAGCAGTTTCGTAGACGATACCATCTTAGCTGACTGAGCACCTAAGTTGGTAGTTCATGTTCAGGCGGATGGTCATGCTTGAGAAATGGCATTCAGCCTGCCGAACGCAAAGGGGTCGCAAGCTTTTCAATGTCCGCACTAGCAAGTAAACCCCCAAGTGCGCTTTTGACTATTGCTACATAGTAACCACCAAAGCCCAAACGAAATCAATGGCGACGGAAAATGTATATTCTCTTCAAAGATCACGAGTTGTGCGCGTTACTCGGTGCTGATTGGAACAGCAGATATTCTGTCCTGTTCGTCCAGTACGTCGCCATTCACAACAGGCACATGTCACCACGTGTTCACAACGGCTTCGTGTCGTACTCACCACGGTCACCAGCTTGCAGCGAATGCACGCGTAACAGTCCGGTGATACAAAATAGCACCATTACTCTTAAATACGAGCGGTATCGGAGCCGGCCGTCCAACTCGTTAACACTTGATAGAAAACTATATAGCATCATCGAACAACACCGAAAGATATGGAATGAAACACACTGGTATGCCCGGTGTGCCGGACATCCAACGACAAAACGTCAACAGAGTTGTCGTAAATACTGTACCCACGTCCACTAGAAACGACTAGAATAGAGGAGATCTTTGGTTGTGCTGGAGCAGCCATCACAGACGTTTAGTTCTTCTTGGAGAGCTTGCGTGATAGACGCCGCAGCCGGGAGACGGGCCCGAACTCTGCCGGGTCTCCGGCGGCAGTGGAGTGGCGGCGCGGGTCGGTGGCGCAGCCGAGCGTGGGCAGCCGCAGCCGCCAGCCGGCCGGCTCGGCGCTCCGCCATCGGGCGCACTCCTCGGTCGGCGCCCGCTCGCGCAGGTACAGTCGACCCATGGTGGGCCACGCCAGCTGCGCCTCGTACACGCACTCGGCGTCGGCCAGGCGGCGACGCTCGGTGCGCGTGGCCTTGCGACGCGCGCCCGACGCGTCTGAGGCCATCCGGCCGAACTCGAGCTCCTCGACCAGCACGAAGCGGCCGGGCGGCTCGAGGCGGCGCGCTTTGACCAGAGCCTGCGCGATCAGCTCCTGCGCCGTGCTCGCGCGCGGTGCCTTCAGAATGGCGTACGGGATGCTGGGGCTGACGTCACACACGCAGACGAGGAAGCTGTCATCCGAGTCGAGGCCGTCGGCGCCGCGCGCCGCGCGCTGGCGCCCGCTCGACAGGATGGTCGACACCCAGGCGCGGCAGCTGGGGTCGTCGCCGATCTTGCGCAGCACCAGCATGCCCTCGCCCTTCCAGGCGGCCTGCGCGCGCAGCGGCGACTCGTCGGCGGCCAGCACGCGCTGCAGCGTCGTCTTGGATGCGCAGCGAGACCAGTCAGTGGCCACCGCCTCGATCAGCACGTAGTCGTCGACGCTCTCGTCGCCGCGGCCCGCCTTGGCCAGCGCCTGCGCGATGACGTCTCGTGTCGTGTAGTCCTGCGTTACCTTGACGATGGTGTGCGGTTCGTCGGGCGTCACGTCGTGCACCATCAGGAAGAACGTCTTTCGCCGCACACCGGGCCGTTGGCTGGGCGCCGGTTCCAGCTCGTCCTCGGAGGCGGCCGGGCCACCGTCGGCGGCGCTGCGGCACGACGCTGTCGCCGGCTCCGAGCCCTCCTCGTCCATGCGCGAATAGATGAAGAGCGTCGACACGGAGAGCGGCCGGTTATGGGCATCGTGTAGCCGGACGTGCCGGTAGCCGGGCCGCAGCCGGCTGAGAGGCAGCGTGCGCTGCGCCGTCTGGTGGCCGGTGCCGGCGTCCGTCACCGTCAGCCGCAGGAAGGCCAGGTCGTGGAACCAAATGCGGAACACGAGCGTCTCGTCCCAGATCGGGTTCAGGCTGTTGTGGTGCGCCGCCTTGGTCTTGTACTTGACGCTGTCGGCCGGGATACCGACCACCTCGGCCTCCACCTGGGGGCTGGCGGAGAAGCTTCCCTGGCACACATACTGGCCGGAGATAATCGTCACCGTCAGGTATGTCACGTGCAGGCCGTCAAACTTCTTCTCCCACGGGTTGAAGCGGCGGTAGAGCACGTGCGTGGGGTCCCACATGACGCGCGGCTTCAGCACGTAGCCGCAGCCGGCCGTCTGCTCAAACATGGCGCTGTTGACGTGCAGCGCCCAGTCTACCGTCTGGTAGTTGAGCGCCACCGACTGGATGCCGCATGCCCAGAACAGCACCGGGTTGAAGTTGGAGGAGTCGATCCGCATGGCCGCCGGGTAGGTACGCATGATCTGCACCTCCGTGTGCACCAGGCAGGCCAGCGGCTGCTTGCGGCACAGCTTCTTGGCCGAGTTCTCGTTGATGCTCGAGATCTGGTAGCAGGGGTGCATAAGTGGCGGCTTGCGGGCGGCCGGCGCCGGCGGCGCGCCGTCTGGCCGCGCATGCGCACTGCCGCTGCTGCCAGAGGACGGTATGCTGGCCGAGCTCTGCAGCGCGATCCGCCGCCGCTGCGATGGCTTCGGCTTGACGCACATCGGGCTCAGCGAGATGAAGCCGTGGAACTTGATGGCCTGCGTGTACACCACCAGGTCGGAGAGCTCCTTGGCGATCTGGGCGCTGTGCTTCTTCTTGGCGACACCGTCGTCGGCGCCCTCCAGGTCCGAGGTGGACCTGTCGAAGAGCAGCACGGCAGTGAAAACACCGCCTGGGGCACCTCCCAGGAAGAGGGAAAATGCGGGTGCTGTACAGGATGCCTGAAAACGGTTGGTCGCTTGAGGTGTTTAAAGTCTCATGGCGTGCAATTCACGACAATCAGAAGTGCCCTGTCCTCCGTCCTTCAGTCTGTGGCTTCTTTGTCAGGCTTCCACAGGGCATGGTCTCGCAAAAAATCTTCAGCAAAGACCGCACTCCACTGGGCTGCCGCCGACCGCTCCCGCAAGGCAACATCTATCGATGAAACGGCAGTATGTCTGACACGTGGCTGCAGTCAGGCTGAGTGGGTACCGCCGGCACCGCGGCAGTGCTCGTCTGTGACAACGGCCGACGCTGACCCCGACCTGTGCCGGCAGTGTGACCCTGACCTGTGCCGGAAGTGTGAACCTGACCTGTGTCGGGAGTGTGACCCTGGTCTGTCCCGGGAATGTGACCCTGACCTGTGCCGGTAGTGTGACCCTGACCTGTGCCGGGAGTGTGCAGGCCGGCCGTTCTCCTCCTCGCAGGTGGGCACGTCGCTGAGGTGGCCCAGCAGGGCCGCCTCCCGATCTGAGGAGCCGACATCACTCGTCACGCAGGCGGAGCAACGCTGCGGTGGTACGACAAACCGGCAGCGAGCTGCTGGTTTCGGAGCCGGGCTATGGCTTCCCATGAGGGGGCGAAATCTGCTACTTCAACGAAGGTATATGAAAGTTACAGATGCAAACTGGGTGACGCCACAGCGACAGAAGATGACGCTTGATATGATCAGGTCGCAATCCACACTTGTTAGCGTTTCTTCAATACTCACATATTCTCTAGACATCCACGTTCATGGTTAAAATTGCATCATGATATTCCACTCAGCTGCCGCCTTCAGCGCTGCCGCAAGCCATCTCCGGCTTCCAGCGGCGGCAGTCAGCCGGCGCTGGCGCAAGAAGCCGCGGTCCCGACAGCCCCCCGGTCGCCCGTGGCCCGTTCTCGGCCGTGGTGCTCACCGCAGATCAGCTCGTCGTCGTCATCGTCGTCGTCATCGTCGCTCTCCAGGTTGAGACTGGCCGACGAGGCGTTGGAAGAGACAACCGAGTTGGTGCGCTGATTGTGACGCCGGATCAGCGGCGGAATGTCAGCGCACAGCTTCTTGTTCTTGATGAGCACGCGGAGCTTGAGCTGGTTGGGTGACGGCAGGCGCGGGTTGTCGCTCAGGTCGAGGTCCAGCACGGGTCGCGCCACCAGCCTGTCGCCGAGCACCGTCTGCCGGCGGGCAGGCGTCAGCTGATTGCGGCGAACCGCAGCAAGCAGACCTGCAGCGGCCAACATATCGCGCTAAAGAGAGGTGGATTCGGCGAGACCAAAAAGATGCGGCGATAGTATTTGTCTGATCTGTGTCAGGGGATGTAGGCGAAGGGATGGTTTGATTCATGGGAATATAGGGGAAGCTGATGCGCAAAGCTTTTTTTCGCTGTGGCCCAGTTCCTTTAGTAATATTCTCGGTCAGCCAGCAGGTGAGCTTAAGACAGTAAGTCATCTGTTGCGTCTGGTGGGATGGACATGTTCGGCAGAGCTCCAGTTGTCCGAACGCGCACACGGACGGTTGCCCGAGCTGTCAACCAGTGCTGTCACTTGTGGGCTCTGTTTGAGCTACAGCGCCACCTACAGCCTACCTGGAAGATGTGCGCCATCTTGGCCTGCTGCTGTATAGAGCAGTGGTTTTCGATGGATAACAGCACGGGGAACGGGCTGGTCACGAACGCTGACTGGGCGATGGCCTCCACCACGGCCCGGAAGCCGATCTTGGAGGTGAAAGTGTGTCCGTGGTAGATGACCGGCGCCCCGTCATCCCCATCCCAGCAGTCCAGCTCCACGCAGCGGCAGCCCGTTAGCAGCACCTGACGACGGGGTCGCAGTCTATCCACCATTCAGCTTCAGTCAACTCAGCAAGTGACATGATCTGTGGCCAGCGTAAGCTGATGGGAGGCAAACACACGATTAAACTAGCCACATATTTTGTGGTGTGGAATATGCGTGAGTCTTAAAACCTTCTTCATCCGAAGGACCCTCATTTATTTATGATAGCGGCGGGGATGGCCATGATAATGCTGAAATCTTGAGGTCATCCGACGACTGGTATGAACATACAGTTGTGTGCAGCGATGCCCAAAGTCTGGCCAGGCAGATGCATTCAGGACCCTGGCCCAAGCATCAGCGGGAAGTATAGGAGTCAACAGACTACGCCTGAGTTGGTCTGTGGCCCTCAAAACACCACCTGCTGAGGACTCGCCTGCGAGTACAGGTCCACGGAAGACTCCCCTAGAACTCACCTGTGAGAACAGGCCCACGGTGGACTCTCCCTGAGACTCACCTGCGAGTACAGGTCCACGGATGACTCCCAAGACTCACCTGCGAGTACAGGTCCACGGACGACTCTCCCTTGAGCTGGTGCCCGGTCAGGTATGTGTTGTGCGACGAGGCCATGTAGTAGTAGGAGAGCGGGTAGTTGAAGTCCTCGGGTGGCGTGGGCTCAGCTCCAGCCGTGGCGAAGTTGGCCTCGTCCATCAGGTATGAGCAGAAAGCGGCGAAGCTGAGACACAGTGTGTCTCGCAGGCTCGGGTCTCGCTCGTACCTCTGCCGGGAGTGGTCACGAGAGAGGTCACCAGAGTGGCCAGGAGAGCGGTCACGAGACTGGTCACCAGAGTGGCCAGGAGAGCGGTCACGAGAGTGGTCACCAGAGTGGCCAGGAGGGCGGTCACGAGACTGGTCACCAGGGTGGCCAGGAGAGCGGTCACGAGAGTGGTCACCAGAGTGGCCAGGAGAGCGGTCACGAGAGTGGTCACCAGAGTGGCCAGGAGAGCGGTCACGAGAGTGGTCACGAGAGTGGTCACCAGAGTGGCCAGGAGAGCGGTCACGGGAGAGGTCACGAGAGTGGTCACCAGAGTGGCCAGGAGAGCGGTCACGAGAGTGGTCACCAGAGTGGCCAGGAGGGCGGTCACGAGAGTGGTCACCAGGATAGCCAGGAGAGCGGTCACGAAACTGGTCACCAGAGTGGCCAGGAGAGCGGTCACGAAACTGATCACCAGAGTGGCCAGGAGAGCGGTCACGAGAGAGGTCATGAGGGTGGTCACCAGAGTGGCCAGGAGAGCGGTCACGAAACTGGTCACCAGAGTGGCCAGGAGAGCGGTCACGAGAGAGGTCACGAGAGTGGTCACCAGAGTGGCCAGGAGAGCGGTCACGAAACCGGTCACCAGAGTGGCTAGGAGAGCGGTCACGAAACTGGTCACCAGGATAGCCAGGAGAGCGGTCACGAGAGAGGTCATGAGGGTGGTCATGAGAGCGGTCACGAAAGCCGTCACGAGAGAGGTCACGAGATCGGTCACGAAAGCGGTCATGAGAGCGGTCACGAGAGTGGCCACGAACGAGAGTAGTCATCAGAGTAACCAGGAGAGCCATCACGAGAGACGTCATGAGAGAGGTCATGGGAGCGGTCACGAGAGCGGGGACGAGAGCGGGGACGAGAACGGTCACGAGAGCAGTCACGAGAGCCGTCACGAGAGGGGTCACGTTCAGTTGGGTGAGACAAGGTGCTGAATATAGCGGGACGCAGTGGGTGGTGCTCACTACCGCACGCGTACGAATATAGTCGGGTAAGTCATAACGACTCGGCTGACTCGGCTGATGATAAGACTCGACTGTCAGGGCAGACGAGCCGCGCTGACGTTGGAGTCGACACCAGCACAACTGCAGCGAACGTCGGTTAGATACCATACATGTGTCGGAGTCACCGCGCTAAGGAATGACACTTCCCTGTATTTAGATGACGTCAGCGGTCGAATGGTGACCACCGTCTAGACGGCGGAAACGGCTTCATCTAGCGCAGAGTAAACAGGTGCGTCTGGACTGAAACTTACGGGCCACCGACATGAGCGTGCCCACCGTTGAGGTGGACCGTTGAGGTGAGCATGGCGAGGTGGACCGGTGAAGTGGACCGGTGAAGGTGGACCGGTGAGGTGGACCGGGGAGGTGGACCGGGGAGGTGGACCGGTGAGGTGGACTGGTGAGGTTGACCGGTGAGGTGGACTGGTGAGGTTGACCGGTGAGGTGGACCGGTGAGGTGGACTGGTGAGGTTGACTGGTGAGGTGGACCGTTGAGGTGGACCGGTGAGGTGGACCGGTGAGATAAACCAACGCCAACGGCATTCGCCGGCCACGCCGCCCGACCCACCATGATGATTCGGACGAGCTGCTCGCGGTCAGCCGCCTCGCCCTGCTGGCTCAGGAGCACCTTGCCCAGTGTCTCCATGGAGATGACCCAGGATGAGGCGCGTTCCACGTCCACGCCGTTGCAGACCACCATGGCGGCCGAGATGGCATCCAGAAGCTTTCGGCGCTGACCACCAGGGGCGCCACTGCTGGGCGGACTGCCGTCGTCTGGCGACAAACGTTCGGGCACAAGGCCGTCAGATGTAAGCGCAGGGAATAGGGGCAGGAGGCAGGCTAACGTGCACTGCTCGCTTGGAAGAGTCATCGACCTGTAAGATGAAGACATCACGCGCAATCGACTTTTCACAAACGTTTCTTCTGACCGCTAGCAAAATCATTTGGCGCCATCCGGTCAGAAAATGAATATATAAATAGGTAAATATATGCATACCGACTTGCATTCTCCGACTCATCTGTGATTTCAGTGTGGTAAGTTTTCCACGCGTAACGCGAACGGAACGGACACGTAAATTTTAATATCACTTATAATATGAGTTGGCACTTAATGTGGTGACCGTAAACAACATTCAATACACCAGACTATGCTTGTTAAACATCACCAAACGCACATTGGTTGCATTGTCAAAAAATTGAAGGTCAGATATAGTTTCTTGATTATAGTTATAATGAATGTGGAGTATAGCAAACAGCCTTTGCTCATATTATAGAAAAGGGAAAACAGGAAGCCAACATTCTTCGCTTTGTAGCTTCTCCGGGACTAAAGGCAGACACAGACAGACAATTATCGTTTTTGAAAAGTCGTACGCGCAGACAATACATGGGTCAACTTCGATTTTTTGCTGAGTTTCAAATAAATATGAGGTACTTAAGCAGAGACAATATACATAATTCATTAAAGCAAACATGGACAGACAAGTATCACTTTTGAAATGTTCGTCACGTGGTCAATACATTGGTAAGCTTTTTGATTCTTTGCTGACTTTCAACAAAAAATATGTTTTTTAAAGTAAGAACCAAATGCACATTGCATAGGCTCCGTTGCGCGCCAACGTACCAGAACCCGAATGCAAGCTCTACAATGCCAATTCATTAAGATAGCAGCCCCACTAAATGGAGTGGATATCTCATCGCCATCCGTGCAGCCCAGTTCCCCTGAATGTCTCTCACAGAGGTCAGACGCGCCGAACGTCACTATCGCCAGAATCCAGCCAACGCCACGTCTACATCCATCCACTCACCCTCGTCACCTGTCCGAACGTTCGTGAGCTTGGTCATCTTTAATAAAGCTTTTCCACCCATTTCAAGCCATCCCGAGATTTTGGATTCTTCTTAAGCAGCCAGCCCACCCCGCCCCCCTCGAGCCTCCCGTGGTATGACCCATCTCGACAGCCATCCCACCCCGCCCCTCTCGAGCCTCCCAGGGTATGATCCCTCCCGACAGCCAGCTCACCCCGCCCCCCCTCGAGCCTCCCAGGGTCTGATCCGTCCCGACAGCCAGCCCACCCCGCCTCCCTGGAGCCTCCCGTGGTATGACCCGTCCCGACAGCCAGCCCACCCCGCCTCCCTGGAGCCTCCCGTGGTAAGATCCTTCCCGACAGCCAGCTCACCCCGCCCCCCTCGAGCCTCCCGTGGTATGATCCCTCCCGACAGCCAGCCCACCCCGCCCCCCTCGAGCCTCCCAGGGTCTGATCCGTCCCAACAGCCAGCTCACCCCGCCCCCCTCGAGCCTCCCGTGGTGTGATCCCTCCCGACAGCCAGCCCACCCCGCCCCCCTCGAGCCTCCCAGGGTCTGACCCGTCCCGACAGCCAGCCCACCCCGCCCCCTCGAGCCTCCCAGGGTCTGACCCATCTCGGCAGCCAGCCCACCCCGCCCCTCTCGAGCCTCCCAGGGTCTGATCCGTCCCGACAGCCAGCCCACCCCGCCTCCCTGGAGCCTCCCGGGGCCTGATCCGTCCCGAGTCTGTCATCGACTTTCCGGCCGTTATAAACGTCCCCGCTCGTCCTGAGCCTCCCCCTGCTTATCCCGATCATCCCGCCAGCCCTGCGTGCAGCCTTACCAGACATGCTTGTGGATATCTTCCTGGCCGGGCTCTTCTTGGGCGTGGCGTACAGCTCAAATAGGTGCCACAGGTCCTTGCGCATGAGCCGGCTGAACGAGCTGTAGAGCTGGGCGAAGTCGTCCATCTGCAGGTGGTCGGCCGAGCTGAGTGTCTCTTGCGACTCGGGCCGCGCCAGCAGTCCCTCCAGCGCGCCGGACTGGCTGCACTGCCTGCCGGAGCGGGGCCCGTCGACACCGGTTAGCGCCGACCGGCCGGCGGCCACGCCCGGGCCCGACCGAGTCCCTGCCGGACCGGCGCCGACGCCGCTCAGTTCGCCGCAAGACCGGCTGCTGCTGGGAAGCGACAGCTCCTCTGTGACGGCGACAGGGAGCTCGCGTGCGATGGCCATAGCGAAAGGTTTGTGAGCCTGTTATGGTGTTCATGTTGTGTTCGCTTTGAGGAAAGGTGGACATGACGTGTTGTCGACAGAGGTGGGTGCCCGGCGGTGTCCGTGTCCGGGGTCGCGTAGCATCGAACCGAACGAAAACACACTGAAACGGATCCGGATACCGCAACAACGATTCATGGCAGACGAGGTGCATGAAGTGTTGGACATACAGTGTCCAACACTTCACAAAACACAAGAACGGTCCGATCTTGTCCAACTGCTGATCGCCCTCCTGTTGGCATCAGCTTGACTTGACCGACCGGTCCAGTCGCAGACAGGGTCACACTACATCGCGCTGGTGCGTCAGCTCCCCATTGAACTCGTCGCCATCCCGTTCGCTGCGATTGTCACAGAAGCAGGCCACAGCCCCACCGTCACGGAGCGACGCACCCACACCACTGGTCGCCTGTGGAGAGACGGCGCGGAAGCCGTGCACCGCACCAAGCGGTCTGGCTGGCTCGCTCCACACATCGTAAACTGTCAATCCACGGCACGTGCAACACTAACCGTCAAAAGCTGCCAAACCGAGGTATGTACGGTCCAACACGCTGTCCACTGGTCTCCGGCGTAGTAAACAACTGGGCGAAGATCGCCGATTGTGCACGCGTTGTTACCCAGGTGTGGCAAACACAGATCACGCGGACCACTGGCTTCAACACGCGGACTGGAAGGAGGCGGGTCTGCCTCGTTCCGTTTTTGTTTGTGAATTACTGAATTATTTTTCAAAGGACGTAAACTGAATGACTGAATTATTTCTAAGTAGTTTCTTAAATTATTTCTTAAAGGAACCATTTCTTAAAAAAGCTTAACTTACTTCTCTAATCCAAACCAAACCAACACCAAACCGACACCAAACCAATACCAAACCAACACCAAACCAACACCAAACCAATAGGTTCAAACGCCGACGACGAGACTGCTTTCGCGCGGTTTTGTCATCAGTGCCAATCACGCCCTGTCACCTCCAAAGCTGTGTGGGTCATGGAGAGGTAGAGAAGTCGGAGGCAGATGAGCAAATCTGAGTAGAGAATCCTTTTCCATGTCAAACGCTTGAAGAAGAACAAACAACACAATCGTCGTAGTACTCACGCCACGCGGCGCCTGTCGCCCGCTGAACGCCCGCCAGACGTTCACTTCTCCATTGAACAGAACGTCGGTAAAGTTGGCGTGACATTCGGATATTGGCATGTTCGACACAATCGATCAGTGTCGATCCCTTTAATTTCGTTGAAACTTAAGTATATAAAGTATATTCGTAGAAACTTAACTTAAGTAAGTGTAGCACTGGTTTTACAGTGTATAGTGTAGCGGGTATCAGAATGTCACGCCAGTTTTACCAATGGACTACCGAGTCTGACGATGAATTCGAAACTTGTGGCAATGCCAGCGAGAAAGACACCCTTAGCTACTCAGGAGGACAGGGCGACGGGAGCAGGCACGCAGAAGCGTGGCCTCTGCCACACAGCCGCCGCTGCAGCACGTCCCGTCCACTCACTGCCACTGCATGACATTCTGCAGTTTTCGTGGCGTACTTTATGTGACGCTACCAGCACATTTGTGGCGATCATGTAACTGGTATACATATGTGTGTGCGTTAACGTGCACGTGTGAGCGTGCTGCGTTGTGCACTCCTGCTTGGCACGCACTGGGTAACATTGGCTAGTCATGTAGCATATCATTATTACCTCTGAACCTTCGTCTTATTTAGATGAACCTGGTAATCAATAACGGCAAACCATTGTACAAAAGTTATGCTCATTATCAAACACATTGCAACAATCCCACCACCCACATCCCAACCAACTTTACAGCAACTTTCATTAGGACTGAATCTGCCAAACCACATTCAACTGACGATAAAGTAAAGCTATTATCACAAGATTCATCTCCAAACTCCCGCCGAAGAACTATTCCCGTGAAATAACTAAATAACTATTCACATAACGTGTAAACTGGGGTGGACACTGCTGTTCTTTGACTTCGTTGTGGTTAAATGTATCATCCGCGTGCGTAATGCATGGCTGCATTATATCCCTTATAAAACATGCCAATTGGTTTGAAAAACGTTGACGAGACGTCATATCGACAGTTTTAAGCGCGTCTCATCTAATTTAACTCCCAAAACATGACCGTAGGTCACCAAATGTGCACAAAAGACAGCAGCATGCGGCCACCACACACCCTGTACTCTTGGCATTTAACGTTTACATTTGCTGAGATTGTTGAGAGCGGGGTATACGACAGTTCTCCCGTCCCCTTCCGGTGCGAACGATTTCCAGACTCACTCCAGTGTGTGTGTGGGTTAAAAAGAGCACGCGTTGCAGCACAGTTGTCACCAACGTAACCTTGTGCATGAATACCATTAGACTTTACTCCGAGGCGTTCAAAACTACCAAACATGATTATTTAGCATTCACACAGCGCACTACAGTTACGGGCCGAGAGTGGCAGTGCCGACCAGCTGCTTCAACCGGATGACCCCGCGGCCTCCGCTGCCACGCCGGCACAGCGCTTGACGGGGCTGACCTGAGGAAGGGCGGCAGCAGGCGGCGCACCGGGCTGCTGCCCGTGTTGATCACGCTCTCGACGCTGGCGGCCAGGCCCGGCTCTTCTGAGGAGCGCGAGCGACACGGCGCCGGGGAAGAGGTAGCCAGCAGGCGGCCCCTGGTGGCCGTCGGCGAGGTACAGCGTGACGAGCTGGGCGTCAGGCCCGCCAGCGGGCTGCACGAGAGCGGCGACGGGCTGCGGCGCGGCTCGCTGCTCACCTCGCACGTCTGGGGCGCAGACACACCGTCGCTGACGGTCAGGGAGCGGACACACCGCCGCCGACGTTCAGGGAACGGACACACCACCGCCGACGGTCAGGGAACGGACGCACCGCCGCCGACGGTCAGGGAACGGACACACCGCCGCCGACGGTCAGGGAACGGACACGCCGCCGCCGACGTTCAGGGAACGGACACACCGCCGCCGTCGGTCAGGTGCTGAACGGATGCACGCAAAAATGCGCACCGCATACACACAGCTGAAGCACAGACCCATTGGAAGGCCGGCGCTCCTATAGTCACACCGCATACACACGGCTGAAGCACAGACCCATCAGAAAGCCGTCACTCCTGTAGTCACACCGACGCGGCACTGCGCACCGTCGCCTGTACGACTAGAACGGTACAAGGCGGCTATTGGTATTAACCACGAATGCCAGCATGGCGGCTGCTCAACAGCGGGTTGTACTTCTGTAGATTTAGTACGCTGTTTATCGTTTTATAGATGAAATGCCGACATCTGAGGTAGAATGACCGCACTGCTCTAGCCACTGTTCTGGCCTCTTCGTGTGAGATCTAAGTACATTTACTGTTGCAGTTCCGTTGAGGTTTTCGGGTTGCACGAACGCAGTGGCTACCGAGGCCATTTTACGATAATGTTGTAGTTCGTGAGTCGCTGACTGCTTAAGGTCGACTTCTGAGCTAGTTTCCGTCCTGTCCACTGCACTGCAGCCTTTCGTGCGTCGCCGGATGTTTAGAATCGCGCTGACTTCTGACCCATTTTCCATCCTGTCCCTGCACTGCGGCCTTTCGTGCGTCCCTGACTGTTTAGAATCGCGCTGACTTCTGGGCCATTTTCCGTCCTGTCCCTGCGCCACAGCCTTTCGTGCGTCGATGATGCAACATGTCTATAACATTAGAAGATTGCTAGGTACCTGCAAAAACATACTCTTTGGACAGCCTACGTTTCGTGAACATTTCAGCCACAGGTCCAAACTAAATAACTTCGAGGTTGACTTGCCAATAGCCATAACAGACCGTGTAAAGAACTTAAAGCGATGACATCACAAACACATAATTGTTACCTTTGCTAGAGATGAGCGTTTCTTCTTGAACTTTCCGGTCGGATTCCGCAGAAAGCCTTGATCGACAGGGGAGTAGTCGCGCACGGGATAGAACATGCTCCTGCCCCCGCCGAGCGCCTGAAACACAAGGAAACCATGCGATGCAGCGACGAAAAAGCGTAGCAACCATGCGCGCAACATTTCACTTGCTGGTGGTAAATGCACTGTTGTGCGAGAGTAGGTCGTGGTGGGGTATTGATAACGCATAACTTTTCAATTTGCTGAGAGTTTGCTAGTGTAGGCCCGAAGAAGTATTGTGTGCGTACTGGAAATCTACTGCAAAAGTCTTAACTTGCCGTCCAGTGACCACTTTTATAACGGAAAGCCGACAAACACAGGGTGAGACCAAGCGGTCTTGTGCCGCCTGTCGCTGACGAAAAACACTTCCTCAGTAACGAGTACCAGCTCAGGGGCGCGCCACTGCGACGCTTCCTGTGGGTCCCCGGACCACGGGCGCCGACTGCCGCGCTCCCAGCACCGACCTTGGCGGCCTCGACGGCGGTGGGGCCGCGGCAGCGCGCCTCCTCGTAGAACAGTTGCAGGTACTGCTCCTTGAGCCAGAGCCGGCGGCGCTGGGCGCTGTTCTGCTGGCCGTGCAGACGGCGCACGAGCACCGGCAGCAGGCGGCGCCAGTGGCCGGCCACGTCCGTCGGCGCCACGAACGTCAGCGACCGGTTGTCGCTCAGACTACCGCCGAACACCATGCGCAGCGCGTTGGCCGGCGTCAGCGCGTCCAGGCCGAAGCGACGCTCGAGCTGCGCCCAGTCAACGTCACGCGCCGCCGGCCCCACCTCCTTGACGGCCAGCAGGCTGAGGAAGCCGTCGTCGCCGGCGAGCGCGGCCGGCTCGCCGGGGCTGGCGTAGCGGAGCAGCAGACCTGGACTGAGCGACTGGTCCGGGTCGGCGGCCAGCTGGCAGTCGGTTGCCGAGCCCCAGGCCGGTCGCCGCCACGTCAGCACGCTGTTGGTCGCCTCCAGGCGCAGGAATGCCAGGCTGCTTCTCTCACCGTCGCACCGGATCACCGTGGTGCCATGCTGCAGCAGCTGCCGGTCAAGGCAACGCGGTGAGGTTACATAGAGGTCATGTAGAGGTCGTGTGAGGGGTGCGCCAGGCCACCGTAGTGTTGTACAGCAGCGCCTACGGACTCCAGCGCAACGGCGCCATACTGCACCACCGCGCCCGAGTTAACGCGCACAGTTAACGGCAAACAGGGCGAAATGGCGAGATCATCTGTGGACGGCGGGGTCGGGCCACGGCGGAGCGCGGCTGTCATCGATATTGGCGCTGACTTCTGCGTGACTCCACTCCAGCCGATTCGAATCTGACTTTGACTCGCACGGCGTAAGGCCGCTTTTGGCTTCCACTTTGAACGTCACAGGGCAACTGCGAGCCGACTTTGATTACAACCCAAGGAGGCATGGCTCAATTCCGAAACCGTATGTGGACTCCCGTGGAATCGACTCCGATGAAAATGGTTTGCGAGAGAAGCCGTTATCCTGTGTACAGACAGCCTGGCATGGACCATAAAAAAGCGCAAAAGCCAGATTATATCTATAAAAAGCATCGTTGATCACACCGTTGCTTAATTCGACTTTGTTCATCGGTGCCGATAGCGGTGCATGAATCAATGTCGGCTGCTGCTTACGCTCTGTTCACACGTTCGATTTCACGTCGACGGTGAACGTTCGGCAGGCCCCAATCAACTCTGTTTTCACGCGGAGTTTGGCAGACCCCAATGAACTCCGACTTCACGCGGAGTTTGGCACAAGTCTGATGGGCGCACACAAGGGCCTGCGACAGTCAGCGTCAACGACTTCCCGCTTACGAAAGAGCGAGCGTTTCTTAGACCAGGACCGATAAAACAGATATCAGGATGAGCACTGGGCATGCACACCTGATAGGTCATGCCAGGTTCATTTCACTAGCAATAATGTATGTACATGTCAGTGGGACATGTGGCATGCCCGTCGCACCGCTGCCGATCTTGCATTGGCCACGTTGCCTCCCGTCAACCAGACAGCTGTGCAGCACTTGGATTTCATTCACACATCAGAAGCTACCGACGGCCGGGCAGAACAGACCCATATCGAAAGAGAGACAAAACCGGTTAGGTGGTTTGGTCAGAATAGCTTAAACTTATTTTTCAGGTTAAACAACTGTCTTAGAAAGCCGCTAAATCACACTGAGCTGACCAGGAGTCCCGACAACGGCGACCGCAGATCTGTCCTGTCCCCAGTGGCAAGACTGGTTGTCGCAATGGACCCGGGCCGCGCACGGACCACGTGACAGTGACGCGCGACAGCTGGTTTCGCGACATAGCTTCGGCCAGGTCATGTTATTGCACGCCACGTCGGGGTCGGTACAGATATAGTCGGACATAGTGCGCGGGTGCGGGTACGTCTGGTCAACCTGTGGCATCAAGACCATATGGTGCAGGTACGCCTGGTCAGCTTGTGGCATCACGACCATATGGTGCAGGTACGTCTAGTCAACCTGTGGCATCCCGACCATATGGTGCAGGTACGCCTGGTCAACCTGTGGCATCCCGACCATATGGTGCAGGTACGCCTGGTCAGCCTGTGGCATCACGACCATATGGTGCAGGTACGTCTAGTCAACCTGTGGCATCCCGACCATATGGTGCAGGTACGTCTAGTCAACCTGTGGCATCACGACCACATGGTGCAGGTACGTCTAGTCAACCTGTGGCATCACGACCACATGGTGCAGGTACGTTTGGTCAGCCTGTGGCATCCCGACCATATGGTGCAGGTACGCCTGGTCAACCTGTGGCATCACGACCATATGGTGCAGGTACGCCTGGTCAACCTGTGGCATCACGACCATATGGTGCAGGTACGTCTAGTCAACCTGTGGCATCCCGACCATATGGTGCAGGTACGTCTAGTCAACTTGTGGCATCATGACCAGCCCTAACAGCGCGACCACAGCTGTTTTTCCATACCCGAGTTTGCATGGGCCCGTCACTGCAAGTGCACCGCCGATTCCAAGTACGGACAATGGGGCCCATCGTTCGAGGACAGCCTAAGCCAACACTTCAAGAGACGATCACCGCCCGCCTGCCCTCCAGTCACCGTGGGCCAGGAGGTCCGTTAACGACCCAGATAAGTGGTGAGTTCATCCGTCTTGGAGAAAGGCTAGGCCATTCCGCTGCAGTCGAGTGAACCGAGAGAACGCTGACGATCATATGGTGCACTCAACGTGCTCACAGCTCGACCTGGCGGTGCATTCGAGGTTACTGGAATGAACTGACAGAACGGTGACGATCATATGGTGCAGACAACGCGTTCACAGCTCGACCTGGCGGTGCATTCGAGGTTACTGGAATGAACTGACAGAACGGTGACGATCATATGGTGCAGACAACGCGCTCACAGCTCGACCTGACGGTGCATTCGAGGTTACTGGAATGAACTGACAGAACGGTGACGATCATATGGTGCAGACAACGCGCTCACAGCTCGACCTGACGGTGCATTCGAGGTTACTGGAATGAACTGACAGAACGGTGACGATCATATGGTGCAGACAACGCGCTCACAGCTCGACCTGGCGGTGCATTCGAGGTTACTGGAATGAACTGACAGAATGGTGACGATCATATGGTGCGGACAACGCGCTCACAGCTCGACCTGGCGGTGCATTCGAGATTACTGGAATAATTAAACTATCTATATGATGGACGGCGAATGAAAGGCAAGGGAACGAACAACATCTAAACATAAACTAAGAGTCAGCTAGGTGCGCTAAATGACTGATGCAGGACCACATCAACAAAACGGAAACAGGTGGCAATGAGCTATAGTTGGTGACTGTAGTCGCATGGGCGGACACCTGACATCGGGCAGTAATGTGAAGGCGTTTAAGGACTGACGTATGTTTAACATGCCACAGGACGTGACGTGTCAGCCTGACATCTGTACTGAGCAGCGGGTACGACTGACGGCGCTACGGCCACCGTCGTGCCGCTCCACTCATTCGGCCGTGGTATTGCACGAATGTTTATGCAATGCAGCTGGCATTATCAGCTGCATTATATACTGATGGGACGTATCGAAGATAGACATTTACACGGATAGTTTCCAGGACACATTAATTCCAGAGCTCGCCAGTACCATTTACCAGCAAAGCGCACCCCACAAGTACGACCCAGCAGCCGAAACAAGCATCCGCTGATACCACTGAGACATCCTTACACAGAAATCAGCGCCGACGACACAGCGAGGTCGTTCTTAGAGGATGCTTAGATCTTAACACTACGGTTATAAATCCCTATCATCGCTGACAGCCAGGCTGACAAATCTCCAGTCCGCCATCAACGTCGACGGAGCGCACTACGTGGCTGCCAGTGGCGGCACCTCTGCGGTGCCGAGCCCGCTGCCGGAGGACCGGCGCCCAGACCTGCAGCGTGTGCAGGTCCACGTCCTCCGTGTGCGCGCAGATGGACACCAAGGACACGTTGGGGTCGCCGAACACTGGCTGCACCGGCGCGTATCCCGTCTCGGAGTCGCAGCGGCTGCAGTCGGACCAGTCACGTGACCTGCGGTGGCGGAGCAGAGACGTCAGCGGCGGGCTGGAGGGCCGGGTCGGCGGCTACGCCAGCCACGGCCGCGTGGGGTCGCAATCCCCGTTACAGAAAGCTTAAAGTAACGAGCTGGCCGTTGGATCAAACGAAAAAAAGCTTCATGATGGAGATGACGTATGTGTACGAAGATTATTTAGCTCCCGGCGGGCTACAACCGCCTGATACAGCAATAAAACCGCTGCTACAACCGCCTGATACAACCGCCTGCTACAACCGCCTGATACAACCGCCTAGCAGCTGAAGTCGATCGTCTTGCCATTGTGATGACGCGATATATGTATGAACGTAGTTGCGACTCGCTGTTTCGGAACCTTCTCCACATTACCAATCAGGGTGCAGTTAAAACGCGCAATGTTTTGTTTGATTGATAGTCCTTTGCATAGCACACAATCCCCAGTCACATCGCAAAAGTACTGCAACTTTCGAGTGGCAGTCATCTGTGCGCGCCACCTAGGATCACCTACGGGAACTCGAAGTTGTTGAGCTTGCTGTTGAGGTGTCCCTGTTGCTCGGTGGCGTGGTTCTGGCAGGCCTGGATCTCGTCCACCACCAGCTGCACTTGCCTCAACTTCTCCATATTGATCAGGCCGCCGACACCGAGCGGCGAGGAGAAGTTCTCGCAGCTTGGCTCCGATATCACCTGCCAGCAGCGGTGGCGGCGTGGGCTGGAAACGCGCTCCCGTGCCTTGCTGCAACTCAACAGAACGCTACCTTAGCAATTGAGATGAACATTCCTGTCGTATCAACTTGAATGAAAAAATTCATGGTTATTTTGCGGCCTTATGTGAAGGAATACGGCTTCGCAGGCGTCCGCATTTGAAATACGTTTTGAAATACTAGGCCAGTGCATGGGTAGAGGTGTTACATGTATCAATTATGAGCATATGACAGTTAGCCTGTGAGCTGACTGCTGTAACATCATTCTACACAAGATCGTTTGAAAGAGAAACTGAAGTGAATTGTCATTCCCAGACGCATCCATGGCGGCGAGCATTACCGTTCGCTTCCTGGACGTGACATTCACAAGATTGACCTTGGTGGAATGACATTTTGGGCTAATGGAAACATTTCAATGACAGCTGCTTCCAGATTTCATGCATAGCAATTCGTTTCTCAGAAAGGACTTACTCTGAATTGCAGTCGTATTACATGTAGCTGGCAGCTATTGCTAAACGCTCTAATCCGCGCCAGCTCAGTGCGATGGTGATAGGCCCTTGAGGTCCTTTATATTGCGGTGCAATAACTGTGACCACTCACGCCCGGGGACGTTACGTCACAACGCAACGCTTCGGCGTATGGGTACATGAATTGGGGCCAGAGAAGAGACGCAAGACACAGCGTTGCAAACCATTTTCCCGAGTTATCCAGATAAGTCCTTTTTCCCAGAGCAAGTGTGAACCGCTAACCCCCGCCCCCCTTCCGCTACCCCGTTTCGGATGACCTCTGACCGGAGCGGGTGCTTCCCCCATCCCGTGCTCACTGACCTCGGCTGGCGTTTCGCGCACCACAGCCAGACTGGGGCACTGGGTCAGGATGCCGCGCAGACGCCGTAGAATGACCCCGAAGAACGGCACGACCTGGAGGACAACAACGGATTTCATTCAGCCATTTGGTCGCGTCAGCCGTCAACATATTGAACGTTCAATCAAAGCAGATGTTGCCGGCTTAGCGCTGTGGTAGTTTCAGGTGAAAAGGAGTCAATACTGCCTTCCAGAAAGTGACACAGGAAGCCAACAACCAGCGAGGTCGACTGATCGGGTTCTTAGACGTTGGCTTGCTGGCAATCTTCGAGAATGGCTTTGCAAGCTAAGGCACTTTGTGGTCGGCAATAGCATGGGGACGTTTCGACGAATGTCGCTGAGAACGGGGGAGGGGTGCAAAGGTCAGCCTTCCCTCACCTTGCATTGCTTGATTGCCAGTGCACGTTGCAAGGCCGCCGTGTAGTGTGGGTTGATGGCGTCATGGGATTTAGGCGTGACGTCATACTCCAAAACAGAAAATAAGAAGTCCAGCACAGGGATGTCCTCTTTTTCCGCCAGGGAAGCCCAGAACGGGCGGAGCTTTTCCGATCTGTGTGAAAACAAACATTGGCATGAGCGGATATGCATGCTATGTTAAAAACAACCACAAGAATCATGGTGTCAGCCGATTCCTGGACGCGTGTCTGTATCTGATTCCGTGGTTATATCTTAAGGCATTAATCATTCTCAGCATCAGGAAAGAACGGAATTAGTATAGATAGTCACTGCTTTGACTATGCATACAGCGTGTGTGTTGTGCTGTGAGCAGAGGGCATGGTGCTCAACCTAAACAGGAAACATTGCGAGGAAAGTCAAACACAATTGTAGCATATAGAATTGAAGAAGACTACAACCGTGAACGGTCTGCAGCCTTGTTCCGTGATAGTGGCACGGGTCTAGTTGCGACACGGGTAGGTTGGCACAGTGCTGATACCACAAAAATGTGAAGTTTGGTTGTGGCAAAAGCGGCAAAAACATCCTGTTACTTTAATTATCCGTCTGATGCGTGGTTCGTGCCATTTTTAGGCCGCTGTCGTCGCTGCTCTAGTTGTTACGATCGATGGACGTTTTTTGGGCGACTGTCCGCGATAAGAACGTGACAAGATAGGGCTGCGGTCAGCTGCCGCACGTTTACTAGGGATGAAATGGGGTGCGGTCAGAAAAAATACCGATGATTTTTCAGACATCACATGCGTATAAAGAAATACCAATGACTAGTCGCTCGCTTCAACACAATAATGTACAGTGTTTGTCCGTGCCCAGTCAAATGTCATGAGCAACGTGACAAACAGCCCAAATAATTTGTCAAAACCGTCTGCGTAAGGTGTGCTGTACATTGCATTTTGTCTTCGGAAGTTAGTTGGGATGCAAAACCAACGGAACGGTCAAAATGACAACTTGTGTACGATTAGGATCGGTGAAACGAAAGCATATCGTGAGATAAGTAGACACCTAACCGGCAAACTGGGACTGTTTGCCCCGGCTCATAGACGTATTTAAACTCATCATCGCGCCGATTCATTTATTTGCCCATGCAATCAGCCTGATCACAGTCCATACCGAAATAAACTAAAGAGTGTTCATTAACTACTCAGACATGATGACATCTGAAAATTCCAGGATCAGTCTTGCTAACATTGAACTGCTAACGTTCATATTGCATTAACTCTTTACATTTAGCACGCAAGACCGATACGATATACCAAACACTTGTCCAGACGTATAAGACGACCAGAGCAGCTATCTAAAACAACACAAGCGGTAACTACATTCCGCGCAACATCTACTGACGTGTGACATTAGAATGTTTCATTTAGCTGCGGTATGACAAAACAGTAACCCCAGTTAATCCAGCTTCAATATTTCAGCGCGTCTATTCCAGTCCTTCCGGCCGGTCGGTGAGAATTGTAACGCGTCAGGCCGCAAATGGTTCACGTGCAAATGATCAAAGTCGATCCACAGTGGCCTCATTTCATTGCGGCTCATACCGCCGTAAATGTCTTCCGCCAGTGCTGGTTCCGATGAGAATACAAAAAATTCATACGCCCCGTGCCCTGTCCCTGCAACGGCAGCCACCATCCGCCAGTTGCGCGACACCCTTCACCCAACTGCAGCAAATGGAGCCGCAGAGCAGAATGGAAGGTCAACTACCGCTAGCTGCCGCAGCCGATGGGAACTGGTGGCCACGGCCGTCCTAACTGAATCTGAAGCGTATTATGGGGGCGAGGGCTGTCTAAAAAGTGTTTCGGCAGAGGCGGGCCACGCTGCCAGCAGCCGCCGCGGCTCTTAACAGCGCTGATTTTGCCCTGGCATCGACCCTCCCTCTGCGCCGGCCGGCTCTCCTCTCCTCTCACCACGGCGGCGTTCATTAGGAGCGCGCAATCAAACATCACGGTCCTAGGTCTGGGGGAGGGGGGGGGGGGGGGGTGCAGTCGTTGTCGGTTTTTAGAGGACGAACTTGCCAGCGGTGCTCGGACCAGCTCGCGATGCACGCTCCTCTGTGCGAGCACGCCATGCTTCACTCCACTCTGGCCGGCCGCGGTCGCGCCACAAAGGCCGCCGCTAAAACAACAAACACGAGCGAGGTGGCGCGGCCGCCGCGTGCGAGGCCTCGACCTGTCGCGCGCCGCAGTCGGCGATGAGGCTCAAAGGAGTTCGCGGAGGGCGCCGACTTCACACGTCGGCTGACCGCCCAGCCGACGAATAACAGGAAAAGAAAAGTGGGTAGTCGACGATCCCGGCGCCTCTTAGCACACGCGCTGCGATGACCAGATGCCTGGCATGAAAGCTGCGCCCGAACGCTTTCAGAACGCTCAGGTCGGACGCGGCGTTAGCGTGGTCGCGAGTCGTGCGACACTCCCAGACTGAAAGGATTGTGCGCGGGTCCGCGTCGCGCCGGAGCCGTTCACAGGCAGCAAAAGGGTGTCGAACGCCTTTTGAACGTATTCGCGGCTCAAGCTATGATTTATGTTACCTTGCTGTTTCTGGACCGTGCTTTCTCTGCAACGGTTGTCAGGCAGGCAGGTAAGACAAACATCCAAAGCATTCAGAGGGATTGTCATAAATGCCTGTTGTACCTGTTTCCCAGTGGCACACCCATATTCAGATAGCTCAAAGTCAATTTCACGGAAAAAGGTGAAAAAGCGCCCATGATTCCTATGAACATGCATTGGAATGTTTGGCACGATGTCACAAGGACACTTGGTGCTGCATATCATTGTGCTCGTTGCGACGGTGGAAATCAGTACAATGTAAATAGTGGTACAATAGAGACGAGGGCTCGTGATGTCCGAACGGATGCATGGATGTTTGATGCATGAACGTTCACATCTCTAGCTATATCCTGCATCACATGGACGTGGGGTATGGTGCGCTTAGTGGCATCGGGGATTGGTGCGAGAACACAGACGCTGAAGGTGCGTTTTACCGGGATTGGCAGGCCATGGGCATCTCCACCGAGGCCAGTGCGGTCTACCAGGATTGGCAGGCCATGGGCATCGCGGCCGGGGCCGGTCGTGTCTTTTGTTCCTGACGTTTAGCCGTTCGACACGAGGGAAACGAGGAAGGCTAAACCCAGATCTGAAGGCCATCCTGTTCATGCACCACCAGGGGCTGATGCTCTATTTTCAAGCAAAGTGGGATGGGCGGGACCCACCCCTACATCTGTCAGAAAGCCTTTGATACATTAATTCACTTACAGAACCTTGGGCAAAATGTGATTTAGGTTAACTCCAAGGTAACATAATTTCTCTCAGTGTCTATTTCCATGTGTACAAACAAACAAAACTCCGTCTAAAAAATACACGCAGTCCTACCAAAAAAGCTAGACGTCGCACATTTGAGCCAAAGGGAAACGAGGACGAGATGGCAGCTTCCGGTACTGCGGTCTGCGACAATATATGTACTATGCGATAGCGCTGAGCCCTAACAGAGCCGTGATGCCGAGCATATTTCCAAGACCGGAGAATACGCGTTTATCTAAACAATTGTTTGAGACGGATAACTGCAGAGACGATCACATTCAAAAAGGCCTGTGATGAGTCACGTGAAGGCCCGGCTGACGCCACTGCCATCCCTCCGGCTGGCGTCACTGCCATCCCTCCGGCTGACGTCACTGCCATCCCTCCGGCTGCCTCAGCGAGCAGCGAGCGAGTTCACATCACATTTGTAAATGGAACCCAGGCGAGCAATGCAATGAACAATCGGAGGAAACGCCCATTTGTTTAGCATATAATTTGGTTAAACAGGCCATGAATCAGGAGGACGTTTCGACGGAACCCCCATCAGAAGTTAGACAGACAGGACCATGGGACGTTTACTATCATGAGGAGCAGCAAGGAGCAAATACATATTATTTAATGTATCATTTAAGCTCTTCGTGGTAAATGCATGTCGTTTGTAAGCATCTTCGTTCTTTGTTAGTAAGTTACATGCACGAAACACTCAACACTGCCCGCAACATACATACAGCTGATGCTAAGTGCTGTTACGTGATGGTATCTTGGCCTAATATACGGCCTTCAGCAGACTACGGCTCAATTTAATCCACCTTTGGACCGTTCCGTCGGTCTGTTTCCTTGCCCTCTATTTCACGTTCCATAAACCGTTCGTATCGGTAGCCTATCCCCATCCCCAAATATCCCCGACGTACAGCTATCCCAAGGAGTCCACTTTGGCAACGGCGGGATGGGGGCTGAGGGAGGCAAGTTGGCCCACTGCGCCGCATGTGGCGGCGCATCTGCGTCCAACACAGCGCGCGTTGCCACGTCGCCGCTCGACCCAGGCGTAGCCGGCCAGAAGGCTGCGGCGCACCAGATCGGCCAGCTGCGCCGCTTCACCCGGACGGGCGGCGCCGGTACTCATGTCTGTGCCCAGCCGCGCCGCTCCACCCGGACGGACGGCGCCGGTACCCGTGTCTGCGCCTAGCCGCGCCGCTTCACCCGGACGGACGGCGCCGGTACCCGTGTCTGTGTCCAGCCGCGCCGCTCCACCCGGACGGACGGCGCCGGTACCCGTGTCTGTGTCCAGCCGCGCCGCTTCACCCGGGCGGGTGGCGCCGGTGCCCGTGTCTGTGCCCAGCCGCGCCGCTTCACCCGGACGGGCGGCGCCGGTACCAGCGCCTGCCCTGATGCATGGGTATCGGCCCTGAAGTTGGCCCCAGCAACGGCACTGTCAGCGCCTTCCAATGTATTCAAAACCGGCCAACATTTGATGATGTCGGCCGAGTTCTGACATTTCCAGCTCAAGCGCCGCTCTAGCACCATCCGAGTTGATTTACTGCAGGCCGCTACTAACCCAGTACCGAAATCTTACATCTGCAAGAAGTATGCACACTGTTCGGTGCTGCCGAGGGCCAGGCAGAACCGAGGCGGTTAACTGCTTGTCACAGTTCAGCGAGCGGCCACCTACCGAAGGCCTACCACCAGCTGAGTGGTCACCTACCGAAGGGCTACCACCAGCTGAGTGGTCACCTACCGAAGGCCTACCACCAGCTGAATGGTCACCTACCGAAGGCCTGCTACCAGCTGAGCGGCGCCGTGGAAGTTGCCCAGGTTCCAGCAGGTCTGGGCGGCGCGCAGAAGGCAGGAGAGCACGCCGCGCCGGTCCTCGTCCGTGGGCTGGCTCACCACCAGGTGGGTCACCCAGCAGCGCACCTGGTGACGATACAAGGTCAGGTGGGCTACCCAGCAGCGCATCTGGTAACAATAAAGGGTCAGGTGGGTCACCCAGCAGCGCACCTGACCACGAAAATTCGTTGTTCATGTCGCTGTGCAGGAAGCTCTCACTGACCCCATTTTCACCGCGAGCGGGATGCTGGTGGCATCCTTTGCTACATGGGTTGATAATTAGCCAAACAAATAATTTGAGGGTCTTAGTCGGACCTGACAGCCCATAAGGCGTATCATGCCACCTTGGTGTTTTCCAGATTAAAATAGACGGGTCTTATAGCTGCCGGGAGCTGTTTACTTTTCGCAAGGGATGTAAAGAGTGCAGATCTTACATGCGGTCGCGGTTGACGAAAGATAACAGGCAGCGCTGGGTTATAATGTAATCTAACCGTCCCTGTTATGATAAGCAATATGCCGTAATTGTTACAAGTGAAAAAGAACATTCACTTCACGGAAATACTTTTCCTTTATTTTTATCGGAATGTGGTGGTGTAAAAAGGTGTCGAGAAGTTACGACACCTGACAATATTTTATGGCAAATGAACATTGGGAAGCTCTTAACAGGAGACCGACGTTGTCATTGTTGCATATAACAGCCAAAGCATATCAATGTGATTCACGAATTTCAATTCCCCAACGCTAATTGTAGGCTACATGACATTAATTACGTTGGCATGACAACAGTAAACTACCAAGACATTTTATAATGCATTTGGAAGATGGTGCCTCTAAAATTGCTTCCAGAAAACACACCAGCAAAGCTTAACACTTCAAATTCCTACAGAAAACACCAAACGGATGACTTCTTGTATTGAACGCCGCCGGCTTTCCATATAGAAGGTGGTAGATATCAGATAATGCCACCCAACTATGACCACGAACAAACTGTTGGTCATGTATAACCTTCGCTTTGTGGCAAAGCATACTGGCAGGTACGGATTGTATTCGAGCTCTTCATCTGTCTCTTGCTTGCGACCTTGTTAACATGTCTTCCCGATGTGAAGAAATTATTGCGTTCCACGCTGAATAATTTTTGATTGCGAAACGTTATTGTGTGTCTTGTCAAATATTATTTAAAGCTGACCAACTGTAAGCTTCAAAACTTCCTGTACCTTACGAGAGAGAAGGCATGCTTGAAACGTTGTACTCTAAGTAAATCCTTACGCTGGTCATAATCGTAGCATGTATGTCGACTTTCATAACTATCACCTATGATTTAACCGAAGAAACTAAATGTTTAATATGCAGTCTCGAAAGAACTGAAGCGAAGGTGATAAGGTCAGTTATGTCTCGACACATGACCACCTATGCCTGAAGGGAAGCATTTTTCCTCATATCTATATCTATGTGCGTGCGTGCGTGCGTGCGTGCGTGCGTGCGTGCGTGCGTGCGTGTGTGTGGTGTGTGTGTGTGTGTGTGTGTGGGTGTGTGTGTGTGTGTGTGTGTGTGTGTGTGTGTGTGTGTGTGTGTGTGTGTGTGGTGTGTGTGTGTGTGTGTGTGGTGTGTGTGTGTGTTGTGTGTGTGTGTGTGTGTGTAATGCCATTCTTTGGAACGTTCGGGTCATTTCAGGGCTGCCATATTATATTTTTTAGAACGATAGACGGCTAGAACATATGGCATCAAAGTGCAGAATACGCAGAAGAGCACCGTGGCCGGCCTTCGAAGCGCCAGGTCCGCGCCTCACGAGGCGCCCGGGGCCGCATCCTAAGCAGGCCCTGCGACTCCCAGAGCGAGGCTGAGAACACAAGCCTGGTAAACTGGGAGTGTCTTGGGATCAGAACTTTGCCGGCGTCTGGCGGAAATGAAACCCCGCTGCCATGATGTATATCACCCAGGATCTGCTGCAAAGCAGCGGAAACTGAGGCCACTGGTCTCCCAGCGGCTTAAAATTTCTTGCGGTGGGATGTTGGCTGGCCTGACTGGTTGACTCGCTGACTCGCAGCTCGATCTCAGCGAGGGACTCTCCAGCTGGCGCCGTCGCTGGCACGGCAGCATCATGACGTCGCGCCATAAACGCCATTAGCGTCGGCGGCTGAATTTATAACGGGTCAACAGCCTCGAGTGGCTGCATGCGCTGCACTTCAAAGCGGACGGCTGATCGCGCCGGCGTCGCCAGTCAGAAAGTGGTGAGTCTGCATTCGCGGCGCGTCCCGGGAGAGATCAGCGGAGCCCTCTGAGCCCCTGCAAGCCGCGTCAACTTCAGCATACTGGTGGCATGGGCCGCAGCCTAAAGCTGACGAAAACGGGTATTACTTGCAGACCAGGCATGACCTCGCCGGTACGCATAAAATGGTGCAATATCGTTACTCCCGTGTCTTAAGCGAGAAACCCTAGGAAAAAATCGAGTATGAACACTTCGCGCTTTAAATCCGAATGTAAAATCATGCCCAGGTGATCTGCATCCACATCTTTACGACATTGCGGCCAACAGAAGTTTGGCGGCATGCCAGTTCTTCTGGCTGCCCTGCGCGCCCTGGTGGAGGCGGGCGCCTGGGCGCGGCCTGCGCCGCGGGCGGCGGGGCGGGCTCACCTCGTTGAACCGCTGCAACAGGTCCTGGATGTCGTTTTGGTGGAGTACCTCAGAACCGGTCAGGTCGCACGTCGTGTACCGGATGTACGCTATAGCCGACACCTGGACACAACACAGAAGCGGTGAGCCCGGCAGGCCGGAAACACTGCGGCGCAGCTCTGCGCGGGTGCATCCATAACTACCGTTTCAAGAGGATTTGTTTTTCTCCTGCACTGACTTTAACCGTGAAAACCAGACAACGGTCTGCATTTTTCCTCAACTCGTCTCTCTTTTTCCCGTTTGAACTCACCTTTTTGAGCAGATCTTCCACGTCCCTTTCACAATCTCTCCTCGCTATTTTCATTCCACCGTGTTTTTGTTCTATACTCCTTCCACATTCTAGCCATTTCTTCAATACCCGGGAAATGGACAATTTTCTGCTTGAATAACATATAACACAAGCGACCTATGTTGAAATGGGTCAACACCATGTACCTTCGGAACAACGGACGAACAAAGATGACAGGAGCAAGAAGGGCGAGACATGTTCACCTGTGAGAACAGCTTGTGCTCAGTCTCGGTCATGGACAGCGCCAGCTGCTCTGGAAAGTGCAGAATTTTCTGCAGATCTTCCAGTTCCTTGTAATACAGCAGGCTACACGACGGATGGTGAGGAACGACCCCTGAAAACCGCCAAGAACCCTTGTCTGGTCACCAGGCATAGCTGATCATGGAAGGAGTTGGGTTGATCTTAAGTAGCCTGGCGACATGGTGATGATCTGAGTAAGATGTGAGAGTGCATGGTGATTAAATGATGATCTTGCGTGTTCAGTGCTGACCAAATTAAAGTGCAACATGCATGTGACACATGATTTCTGCAATGCTTTCCTTAGCATGGAATGATGTCAGTGACTTTCTAGAAATGTACAGCGCATGAACCTCTAAGGCTATTTCTAAATCACAAGGCCGCGCCGTTTGTAGACACTATCTTCTTTCTGGACCCTGCTTGCGGGTCTGAATAGCCATTCAGCCAAACATCAGCCGAAAATAATTATTTTACACCTGAGACTTTTCACAGTAGCCCTACGGAGAGCTGTCAGCGACGCCGTAAATTTTTTAATCGTGCCTCACGCTAGCCGTGAAAGGTCAACGACCCCCGAGCGATCAGGGCGCCGCCCACAGATCTCTTTGTCGCGTGTGAGTGGTGAATCGACACCGCCAGAAGCGGCGAATGGCTCCCACGCAAGACACCGAGTGGAAGTGAACCACTTCTGGGCACATCATGAGTGCAGCGGTCACCCCACAATCCTCCCATGGTGTCGGTGTGAAGCTGGCGGCCCTGTCCAGCAGCAGTGCCCTCCCCTCCCCTCCCCCCTCGGCCGTGGTGTGCAGCCTGACTCACGCTTGAGTAGCGATGGAGCGCGAGCGTCCCGGGACGGCTCGTTCTGCAGGATGGCCCAGAGCGCGCGCCCGATGTCCCGCAGCAGGCCGTCGTTGGGCACGGAGAAGGTCCAACGCGAGCCGCGGAACTCCAGCATCAGACGGTCGTGGCTGCGCCCGCCGCCCGTCCGCCACTGGTGGCGGTACGCTGGCTCAGCGGCCGGTCCGAGGCGGTCGGCCCGGCCGTGCGCCGACCCATGGAGTGCACGTGTCCCGCAAGGCAGAGTGGCGGGCAGTTTCAGGATACGCTGAGTACATGAGTTACTCAGAAATGATAGCTGCTAGAACATTCATCGAATGAGTTACTGCCAAGCCGCCGGCGTCTTACCCCAGCACCAGTCGTGACACGAGTGGAATGAAATATTCACCCAGAGTGTTATGAGGCAATGGCTCGGATTGACAGATGAAGTCCATGAGACAGGCCCTTGGACATACCTGAATGAGGTCCGCTGTCCGCTGAGACTTAGCCAGTGCCTTCGTCTTGGTGTCGAGCAGCACAATGGCGGTCTGATTGATGCCGAGCAAGCGGGATGCCTTCCGCTTGGTTTTGCCACGCAGCACCTCCTTCACGCAGAAGATCTGACAGTTGTAGGCCGGTAGGCGCTTGCAAGTGCTGATGTAGAGCTTCATCAGGTGGTACTCCGAGTCATAAACGGTCGAGTGGAACAACTTTCGCTTCTGATCCTGCGGGAGGGCACAGGAGGCAGCGTTAAACCATCGGCAGTGATTCGGCAGACATCGGCAGACTCCGTGATTTAAAATGGCAAGATATGGTCTTGACAGCAAAGCCATTGTGAATGCTAGCGAATGAGGCGAACAGCGTATGGCTAACTTTGTGCATATCATCAGGAGTGGCTGGGAAAGAGACAATTCCGCTGTAGTGACTCTTTCAAACAGCTTCCAACGCGTCTCACTCGCCTCACGAACCCACACTCGTCACGCACACCAGCGCCGTCTCCCCACCCGGCCGGCACCTTGATCAGCTTCGGGATGCTCTTGGTGGTCCAGTAGGCGGGCGGCAGGAAGCTCCGCAGGTGCTGGGCCTCGATGTCGGTGGCGGGTCCGCTCGTCTCCAGCGGCGGCAGGCTGCGGCACGTGGTCTCGCCCGAGTCGGCCCGCTCACCACGCGACGCCGGCAGGCTGCATGGCTGCGCCAGCTCGCTGCTCACCGAGCCGGGCTCGGCGCACGGCGCCACCGACTGCCGGAGGCGGAGCCGGTCATGATGAGCAGCGTCAGCTCGTCAAGCTCGACCGGCATCTTCTTCCACGGTACTCGTGATTTTATGCATGGAACCAGTGTCGCCATAAATCGATTTATCCTCTATTTTGTCCCGTAGTATAAGATGTTTTCAAATTTTGCCTTGGTCGCGACTCGTGCATGAAAATGTTAAAAAGTGAGTAGTGGTGGCTTAGATGATATTAAGATACTGCGCTGCCCTGCTTAAGTCGAGGGTATCTCCCCCGGTACCAAATAGTCCCTCAAAAGTAAACACTGGCGTCAATGTGCCTTACATTGGAATACCTCACGCTACTTCAGCGTGGTCCAAAGCGGACTATCAGCTCCTTCAAAGAGCCTCATGCGAGCGAGTCCGTCTCGACACGAGGCTTTCGTCGGCGCCCTGCCTACGGGTGCCTGAGGGTAACCACCAGAGCAGGGGCGGTTACCGATTTGTCTGCGGCAGAGGCGCGGGCCGACCAAGTCTGCTGGATGCGGATGTGTGTCCCGGCCAGCGTGGCGGCCTCCTCCTTGGTGCAGGGCAGGTCGCCAGACAGCACTTGCTGCTGCAGCTGCCGGTCCAGGGAGATGTCAGCAGTCACGAAGTGCGCGCGGATCTAGAGCGTGCGCCGAGCCGGCGGCAGGCGGACGTCAGCGGTCACGAGGTCTCCGCGGACCTCGAGCGCGCACTGGGCGCCCGAGGATCTCGAGCGTGCGCCGAGCCGGCGGCAGGCGGACGTCAGCGGTCACGAGGTCCCCGCGGATCTCGAGCGAGCGCTAGGCGCCCGAAGATCTCGAGTGCGCACCGCACCGACGGCAGGCTGACGCCACACCGGGTCACACGACACGCAGGAACGGCGCTGCTATCATCGAACGACGAGCAATGACGGCAGGCTGAAGACGCAAACAGTCCATCGCGGGCCATTGACACTTTTCTGGAATGTTGCTAGCATGTCACGCATAGCAAAAGCAAAAAAAGCGCAGAAGTCCCTGGGCAGATCCCCGATCCGAGAATTCCCAGGAAGTATAGCTACGCCGTGCTCATTTGAAAGGCATCACTGTCTACGGAGCAGTATTGACCTCGCGGTACTTGGTGCTGACCTCCTAGTCCTCCGCCCTGACATTTTGGTACTCAGTGCTGAGCCAGTGCTGACCAGTACTGACCCCGTGGTATCCGGTACTGACCTCGTGGTATTCGATGCTGATTTCCGTCATCTCCTGCTCGTCGTCGCTCTTCTTCTCGGCGCCCTGCGGGCCGACAGAGGCGTGCATGAGGCCGGCGGCGGCGGCACAGGGCGCGCCCCAGCCGTTACGCTAGCTCACTGCTCACTGCTGCCGGCACCACCGGCCGCCGCGTCTGCGAGGTCACGTCCGTGGCGACGCATAGCGTCAGTCACCCGGCGCAGCCACCGCCCCGGAGGCGTGAGCGTCGGCTCAGCAGCTGCTCTAATGCAACACCGTGGCGCGCGCAACGCGATGACAAGTCACACCCGGCCTCGGCGCCGTCCGCACGCGCGTGTGCGGGCACGTGTGAGTGAAGGCTACTGGACGCTTTGATGGTGGGGACGTGAGTGGCTTTGTGCGGTTAGAGGAAGCGTGTGGGTCGCACACGCGTGGCCAGAGACGTGATGTAGTTTCAACGGAAAACATGCATTCAGATTTGAGATGACGAATGTGTTGATGGTGTGTCACACGGTGAATAGCCCTCAAGGCCAACCAATAACCTGCAAGGATGGGAGCGGGTCAGCTGGAGAAAGCGCAGCCTCTGGGTGAGTTCTCCTCGAGACGAAGATGGGGAGACGACGATGCTAAGGACGAGGTTCTCATCAGGTGGACAGTGACGCCATTGGACCACGTACCAGCACGGGCCAGCGCTGCCGAATGCCTTCGCACCAGAGCTGGTAGGCCGGGCCCAGGCTCTGGATCTGGGAGAGGGTGTGCCGCAGCTCCCGGGTTAGTGGCGGGTTGCAGTCCAGGCTCAGCTGGGACAGAGTCAGCCACTCCTGCGGACGCAGCGTGTCCCCAGACAGGTGACCGGCGTCCGGGGAACGACACGCTACACAGCCATGGGCACAATAGACAGCTGAGGTGGCCATCAATGGTGCGGCTGAAGACAGCCGCATGTGCTTCAGCAGGCCTACAGGCTGCTATCAAGAATTGCCAGTGGAGTCGAGGAGCGTCTCAAGGTTACACATTGAAAGACATCAGCAGTGCTCTGTTTATTCGGTGGCACGTAGGGGGGGGGGGGGGGGGGGCGGGGTCCGGTAACTTTTGTTACGCGGTATCTGATGACTGGCGCAGGCAGTATCCATTTCTCTTGTGACTGTCGCCCACTCCGCCGCTCGCTGAGTTCAGTGACGGCTGGCTTGTGTGAAGAAACGATTGCTTTCATTAGCGGGAAGAAGCTCAACGATTTTATGCCTATAATAAGGTGGCAAAATAGCAACACTATGAATCATATAATACTAAGTTGCACAAGCTGTAAATGCATGCATATATATATATATATATATATATATATATATATATATATATATATATATGAGAGGGAGAAAAAGGGAAGAGAGAGAGAATATAAGAGAAAGAGAGAAAGAGAGAGAAGAGAAGAGAGAAAGAGAGAGAGAGATGGAGAGAGAAAGAGAGAGACGGAGAGAGAGAGAGGGAGAGAGAGAGAGAGAGAGAGAAAGAGGGAGGGAGAGAAAGAGAGAGGGAGAGGGAAAGAGAGAGAACCGAGAGAGAGAGGGGGAGAGAGAGAGAAAGAGGAGAGAGAGAGAGAAGAGAGAGAAGAGAGAGAGAAGAGAGAGAGAGAGAGAGAGAGAGAGAGAGAGAGAGAGAGAGAGAGAGAGAGGGAGACGCATAGACGAAATTTTATTGATTCATCATTATATCTACATACCAGCCCGTATATCGTAATACCATTTCTTTCTATCACCAGAGGCTTCTGCCGAGATCGCAATTCTTGCGATTTCGTTTAAGGTTATTTTCCGCGTCTAAGATGTGCTATAGAGAATGACTACATGTGCTACACTTGTATGTAATGACTACCAAATGCTACAGTGCTCCGCCAGCGATATTTCTGAATACATTTGCCCATATTCGCAGAGAGAAGAAGGTTGCATAAACTGTCACGGCGAGCGCTGGCGACGCGACAGCTCGCCGCCAACTTGCTGGAGACTGGGGTGCCACTCGCCAGGCTCTGTGACTGGCTGCCTTAGTCCAGTCATTGAGATCTCAAAGGTACTTAGCCATTAGTCTTTTACCAAATTAGGCACACACCAAGAGTAGTGAACCCCGACCAAGCTCGCAATGCGTAAGCTCTCATGTGCAGGTGAACGAAACATCTCCGAAGTTTGAAGTCCGATGGGCATGTGTACCTTTCTTTGCGGTTAGCGCTCGTAAGCCAATCCTATTGCTCACGATGGCTTGACGCACAGCTCCTATCCCCCCCCCCACCATCCCACCCCAATCCACGTGTCCCTGATGACATGTTGCTGAGCTGCAAATGGAACACCATCCCGGGCTGTTGCAAATTAGCCGCAGCCCAGCAATGGGCCAAAGTGAAACGCACTCTCCAGACGCACGACTGCATCCAGAGATCGTTGCTGGAAGTGCTCACTCAGGCAATCCTGACAACATCTTACTACGCCCACCCAAGGCTTTCACAACCCAAAAGTTTGCTCATCACTTCCGACTCATCACCGCACCGACAAATTGGTTCCTCCCACGACGCAGATATGAGCGTATTCGTGTCTCTCCTACAGAATTGCAGTGCCCTAACTCTCTTAGCTCAGCACGACTCCGCAGCCGTGCCCGACGCCCATGCCCTCCTCGCAGCTTTATGCTCCCCCCCCCCCGCAGCGCGGCCTACCTCGACCGTGCTGA